AATCACTCATTCTCATCCAAATAATCACACCCGAGGCCTATAAATATCAGCCCAATGCCTCCATTTTATAGATCTGGAATTTTATCAAGAGGACGAGGTGCTGCTGGATTGAGGAGTCAATGAGCACGAAATTTCAGCGAAGGTCAACGAGATCCTGGCAAACTTCAGCATAAAGAAGAAGTCTTTCGAAGGATTCGAAGCCCTGTACGTCTGTTCCTTGAGATTAGGCTTAGTCTTCATCTCGAGAAGAGCTACTGATTTCGCTTGGTCGATTTCAGAGCTTCAAGCGAATACTTAGTGAAGTAGGAGCTCTGTTAATTTTTCGACAACCGGATTCGATCCGCGGTCGTTCACGGATAAACCCCGGCACTGGCGAAGAACCCACGCAAGCAAGAGCCGATAAACGATTCTTGTGTTTATTTTCAAGAGAGTTGTAATCTTTATTTTTGTTATTTGATTAATTCATTTGTAAACGATTGAAGTTTTAATGAAATCGATAATGAAGGCGACTTTCGACGAAAACAATTATATTTAAACCATGTACACCATGACTTTACCCTTGATAATGAGAACCAATGCCTCCGATGGCTATCCTATGACCCTTGGACATGATTATAAATAATTGAGGGTATAATAGAGGGGCTTATGATTTGGAATTTAAAGGGTTTGAGGGATTAATATTGGGTTAAAAGAGGGATTATAAAAACGTAATTGATTTACTTCATGTCTAATTCAATTGAGAGTTATATATATGTATGTTTGTTAATTGTTAATGTATGTATTTTATCATGAGAAACAAAATTATGATTACACCCATAAGTATACAAATGACACTTGTTGACTATACGAAATATTACAAGGTATCTATGGAAAAAAGTCTTAACATCACTCAAACTTTTAGAATAGTTGGCATAGTATGAGATTAGATTAGACTTGTAACTGCATTTGTATTTTTTTATCAGTTAAAAAAACATACTAAGTATCATATTTTATCTGTTTGCGGCACTATTTAATACCTATATAATGGAATATTAACTTCTGCATCTCTATTATTACAATGCAAATACCTATATCCAGATATGAACTCCTCAGGCACTTTGATCCTGATTTCAACTGAACCTACCCAGTCTGCAAGTTCATTATCTCTGCCTCCCTTGCCAGATTCGTTCCTTGCCTCTGATTCCTTTTTAGAACATGCTAGTTTTCTTTCTTGTGAAATCCAGAGTGAAGTACCAGACGTCCTTAACAAAAGTTCATTCGATGTGGGTTCTAGCACGGGGCAAGGATCAAATGAGATGAGTTTGGATGCTGTAGCCTGGGCTGCTTACAATGGTGGACCTCTGGGAGATGTTTTGGCTAACAAAATGATATGACATGCTATGCGAACTGCTCTTTTACTTCTAATTCCAGGATTGAAGAATAGGGTTCAAGTCCTCAGACTGGAAGCAAGAACAAGGAGTGATGATGGTAATAGACAATTTTTGTATAGGATTTAACAAACAGGTATAGTTCTCTAGTTGGCTATTCATTATGTTGTTTTTTATGCTTTGTTTTTATACTTCGGGTGTGCTGTGGGCATCCTGTGTTTAAGCCGACGGCAGTTTCTAGCTATGAGCAGATAGGTACAACAAAATTTTCAAAGAGTAGATCATATGTGCCTGAAACAGATGCTAACAGCTTGCATTCTGCTGGTTCCATATTTTTTTTACAAATTATATACTTGTCCCTAAACCGGGCCCGGGCCGGGCAAAACCCAAGCCCGGACCCGGGCCCGGGTGGTCCGGGCCGGGCCCGGGCCCGGGCCCGACCGGGCCGGACACCGGGCCGGCCCGGATTTTTTTATTTTTTTATTTTTTTATTTTTTTAAAAATTTTTAAAAACAATAAAACATAAAAATTATATTTATATAAAAGTATATATATATTTATACTCTTATATAAATATAATTATATTATATGTACATATAAGTTTATGTTTATATATATGTATAGATATATAAATATATATTTATACTCTTATATGTATTTATACTATTATATAAATATACTTATATATGTACATATAAGTTTATGTTTATATATGTGTATATATAAGTATACTTATATACTAAGAGAGAGAGAGTATAAATATATATATAAGAGAGAGTATACACTGTACACATATATAAGAGAGAGCATACTTATACATATATATAATTATATAAGAGATATAAACATATATAAGAGAGAATATACTTATATTTATATATACTTATATACTAAGTAGCCCAAAGTATTCATGTCATTCAATATATGTATATGTATATATATACACACACACACTGACACACATATACATATATTATACATAAACAAATTGTAAATACTTATAGTAATTACATAAACAAATTGTATTATACATAAAAACACACACACATATAAACTTATATATACACACATATATTATACATATATAAGAGAGAGTATACTTATATATACTTATACATATATTATACATATATAAGAGAGAGTATACTTATACATTATACTTATATATATATATATATATTATATATAATGTATAGTATATATATATTATACTATATCATATATATATATATATATATATAATATAATGATATATAAATAGTATATATATATCTATAATATTAATATATCATTATATATATATATATATATATATATATATTAATATTAGTAATATATATTATATATATATATACTCATATAATTATATACGAGATATATAAATAAATAAGAGAGAGTATACTGAATAATACTTATATAGAAGTCTACGTATACTTATATATATATTATAATCATACTTAATATATACTAATATACTATCTAGAGAGAAATATCACCTTATATATACTTATATACTCAAGAGAGAGAGAGTATATCATATATAATACCTCACTACCTATAATATATACTACCTACTCCTAAGAGAGAGTATACATTGTATACTTATATATACTTATCCCACTATATTAAGGAGACGCATATTCTATCACACTACTATATCACACTATATATGAGAGAGAGTATACTTATACTACCCTCCACTCTCATACTACCTAAGAGAAAGAGTATACTATACTACTATATATATATATATATATATATATATATATAGTATATATATATATATATACTAATATTATTCGCACACACACACACTGCACGCAACTTGGTACCTAAGTTGCTCAAATCTTGTAGTGATGTGGCATAATCTTGCTCCATGAACATCTAGATTAGGCCACATCACTAACCAAAGCTTGCTTTTAAAGCAACTTGCTACCACCCCCAGCTCTCTCCATATTCTCTATATATATAGTTATACTACACATATCATATACATACTCAATAATGTTATATATTAAGAAATAAACAAAAATAAAAAAAAAATAAAAAAATTTAGCTGTCGAGGCCGGCGGGCCGGCTCGCCAACGGGCGACCCGGGGCCACGGGGCCCGGACTCGGGTTTGCCCGGTTCCGGGCCCGGGCCGCGGGCGACGGACCGGGCTCGGCCCGGGCCGGACACCCGGGCCGGGCCCGGGCGCCGCGGGCTTTTTTGGACACCCGCTACTTGTCCCAACGGTTACAACCGTTGGGGCTGATTAAGGTCCCAACGATTACAACTGTTAGAACCTTAATCAGCCCCAACGGTCGAAATTGTTGGGGCGTTTATTTTTATTTTTTAAAATTAAAAAATAAAAATTTCTTGCCCAACGGTTGTAACCGTTGGGGTAAGTTTGTGCAAGTAATGATTTAATGTAGGCATTTATGATTAAGGTGGCACTTGAAAATTTCCAAAATATATTAATACTGTAGCATTTGGTTTCTTACAGATTCAAACGTTGAGATATGAATTACAATTAATTCGCTGAGTAGGACTATACTTGGTTTATTAAAATATAAAAGTAAACAGTACCTGCTAATATACGTTTAGAAGAAAATGAATTAATGCCTATTTTAGTATTATATGTATTCATTTAGCGAGTTATTTCAGTTCATGGTATTGTAATATTTATTTAGGTGCCGTTTGGAAAATACTCCTATTTAAAATGAGTTAGCTCCTGAAAAATATTCCTATTTAGAAGGATTAAGAGCTAACACTTCTAATTATAAAAAAAATAATTAAAATCTTTGTTATTCCCAAACACTAAAAATGATCATAAGAGTTAAAATAAAACTTATATAACTGGTTAATAATTTAGTCCTTCGGATTATCAAATGATCTAACTATGTTAATCTATCTTCTTAATCCCTCTCCATTAACCCTTTGACAAATAGTGCTTAGAGACTAATTACGTTACTCTGAGCTATGATGTAACTATTAGGAAATTAAAATGCGAATAGAATGGATTACAAGGTCTGGAGTGGTAAAAAGGAAAGAAAGAGCGGGGCGACAGTGGTGTCAGCGGCCGTCGTTGGTCAAGTCATCAGTATCGTGTTCCCATATTAACCCACTTACAGCATTTTTGCTACATTTATTAGTGCCCCATTCCACCAAAACCCATAACAAAAAAAAAAAAAAAGAAGAAGTTGCAAGGCAAGGACAGCACTCTCTGTGGGGTCCACCTCCACCCCTCGAAAACCACTACCACCATCAAGTTCCGTCATGGCCAAGGCACGTTCATCATCACTCAGGCGATGACGTGGACGTTTCTCCGTTTCTCCATGCTCCGCTCCCTCACCTTTCCTCCGCCCACGTACAAACAAAACCAAAAGTAGTAATAATAATAATAATTATTATTATTGTTATTATTATTTCCCATCCATTAAACTCTGGGTCACCGGTCACGTTATTCCCATTGAATACCGTGGTCCCTGTTTCGTAATTACGGGCGGAATCTTAACATAAGTATACAGATAAACAAATCTCTAATTCATTTGCTTCTCACTATATATCGTTGTCAACTTTTGTGCGTTTCTTTATTCGCGAAAAGAAAAAAGAGAGAGAAGGGCGCTTTCTGTGTGCACTCCTTTCTCGTGTCGGTTTGGTTGACCGTCCGTTCTCCTTGCCTCCCATCATTAATTAATTAATTCCTCCCCGTTTTTTTTTATATTATTTTATTAAATTATAATAAATAAACAAGAGAACTCCTATTGATATTTGTCGTGACGTGGCGTTGGTGTTTTTCTAATAAATAGAAGGAGTCCATACTCGCGTCACGCCATTTCGCCCGTTGCCCCTGAAATCTCGCCATCTATATGATATCCCCTCTACGATTGTTGAGGTGGGGGAGTAATGGCCGTGCAAGCTCAATACCCTTCATCATCATCTAACGCTTTCTATCAGGATTTCCGCACGAGGTCCGTTTCCTTTTCTGACCGATTCTTTTTGGAATACCTAAACTTTTTATATTCATCTTCTTCTAGCTGTCTATTTCAGGGCGACCCAGATCAACTTGCTCGATGAGCTCCAGCATATGAATCATGGAGTCGTCCCTTTCATCTTCACCAGCAACGACGCCACCGTTTTCAGCAACCCTCAAAGCGAGCTGACCCAAGAAGCGGAATCAGAGACGGGGTCGCCGCGTTAACGGTTTTCGGTTGCCCCAATGTCGGTCGCCGCCCGATCCATCGGTCGTCGACCGGTTCGAGGCTCGTTGAACTCCGCTGCAACTTCAACCAGCGGCCGATCGTCCCTGTTACCCCATCTCTCACGCCGTTCATCTCTGCCATCAGCATACGGAGATCGATGCGCTTCTCCGACTTCAGGTACCGAATCTTTCTTCCTTCAATGAGATCTCGGTTTGCTTTAGTACTGTTGAAGATCGTTCGCTGACGGTGGTAATATTCTTGACTCTAGAACGAGAGGCTTCGATTGGGACTGGATCAGATCCAGAAGCGACATTGCCGATCCCTGACCTCATCGATGGAGCAGCAAGTCCTCAAGAGACTCAAGGAAAAGGACCTCGAGCTCGAGATCGCTAGCCGAAAGAACGCAGAACTCGAGGACAAGGTTCGACAAATTGCCGCGGAGAACCAAATCTGGTTCAATGTGGCCAAGAACAACGAGGCCATCGTTTCGAGTCTAAGATCCAGTTTAGAGCAAGTCCTCCTTCAGAACACCGCCGTTGACGTCGTTAAATCCAAGGAAGGCTACGGCGACAGCGAGGGGCCGGCGTTACCCGCCGACGATGCGCAGTCTTGCTGCTTCGGAGGGGTGGAAGAGAGGGCTAACGGCGCCGTTAAGTCGGAGATAGCGACGGCGGTTAAGGAGAGCCGGAGAAACTGCAAGATTTGCGGCGAGAAAGACGTGAGCGTTCTGCTGCTCCCCTGCCGGCACCTTTGCTTATGCAGGGACTGCGAAGCTAGGGTCGACACGTGTCCGATCTGCCACGTCACCAAGAACGCTTCCCTCCAAATCTTCATGTCTTGATCCGGGTAATAGGGTACTTGGGCTCTTTTGGCCCGCGTTTAGGGTTTGGCTTTACCATTTCCTTTTTCTTTTTCTTTTTTCTGGGAGTAAGTTACTGGTGTAAGGACAATCATCTCAGTTGAAAGTTTCGTTATTCTCTTTTTTGAGTGCTTCAATATAATATCTTTTAAACCTGTTCTAATAAGGCATGAATTGGTGAAAGATAATAATGTGGACATTAAAAAGATTGATTGCAAATGCACCTCCGCGTGCAAAATAGACTCTTTCGAGTAATTTTTTCTTTTGTGTGAGATTAGGCCTCTTGAGTGAATTTTTTTTAACTTTTAAAATTGTTAAAATGGATTAAAGAAGTGGATAGATCCATTTATAATTCTATTCTTTAGGATAAACTGTCAATTGATAATTTTGGTATTTTTTTTGACTTTCAAAAAATCGAGAAAGGAGTTCACTAACAAGATGTATGTGCATTAGAACCAATATTAAGAGGTATTAAAAGGGTTTAATCACAATTAACCCATAAAATAATATTAGGTTGTAACTATGGCGCCCAGTTTTTTATTTCGATCTTCAGTTTGTTCTGTTCTTCTTTATCGTCCTTAAGTACGAATAAAATAATCGTAAAAGGTGCAAGGAAAGTAAGTGTGCAGCAAATCTCCGTGACTTTTTGCAGCAGCAACTTATTATTATTTTCACCCCTTTATTTTAATAATTATTACTTTTAATTATTATTTTAATACGTTCGTTGATGAGAGATAAAGATGCACGTGCTTGTAGGCTTCTTCTGCAGGAGGGAGAAAAAAAGATATGCTGGGGCCCTCGGTACATGGTTTTCTGTAATAGGAACAGGTGGGTGGGGACCACCAAAAAAGATGCTGGGCGAGATTATATGCTGCTCCATTACTTTAGGACACGTCACGCGAAACCGGCCCGCGAGACAACAAAAGCGTGCATTAATTAATGATAATCAATTGCTCTACACTCTTATTATTCCAGCTACTTTTCACTTATATATCTTTAACTTGTATTTAACTTGTATTTAATAATAAAATAACACTAATTTTTTTTAAACTTGTACGTATATACCTCTTTTTGGCATTAGATACCCTAATATTCTTATAGCAGTGCTTAAATATCTTAAAGTTTTTACAACTTGCACATAAATACTCTCAGTTATGTAATTTGAGAGTGTTTAAGTGCAATTTTAAAAAGTTTTGGATATTTAAGTGTCCGATTTAAAAAATTTTGGACATTTAAGTGCAAGTTTTAATATATAAGTGCAAGTTTTAAAAACTTTAGGTTATTTTTTTTGCTACCAAATATAAGTAAGAGTATATAAGTGATACGTGTGTATCTTCTCTTCGGAACTTAGCGATCCTCATGGGAGCTTGAGGATAGATGATTCTCATACTAGCATGAGAATAGGGGGTGTCAAACAGTATAAGGGAACACAGGAGGAAGCGTGGAACAAGACGACGAGCAGAAGAATCGAAGTACCCAGTTTTCAGCCTGTGAGTCGACTCATGACTGTTATGAGTCGACTCATCAGGTTGAGTCGACTCATGACTGTCATGAGTCGACTCATCGCTGGTTATTGAGATTTCTCCAGTTTCTGTCGAGTCGACTCATCTCAGTCATGAGTCGACTCATCGATGGTTTCCTGGTTCGTTTGGGATTCTGTTCACGCGTTTTCCTGTTGGTTTTGGGTCTGGTTATTTACCAAACTGCCATCCACGTTTGTACACCTATATAAGGGATTGTTTTAGGGTTTCTAAACATCTTTTAGGTCAGAGAAAGAGAGATTAAATTAGATTCTAGATTGAGATTTGGAGAGCTTGTTCTTCAATTCTAGAGTGAGATTGTGAGGGAGAGATTGTAATCTTTTGTTCTTCATAATCTAGAGAAGGTATTTTCCTTCGCCAAACTGAATTGTTCTTGTGTTTTGGTCGTCCTTTTCTCAACCCACCTTTTGGTAATTCCGCGACCAAAGGGTGCTCGCACGGCAACTCGTATCAATAAGTGAAAAGTAGATGGACAATAGGATATATAAGTGCTATTTAGCCTTGTTTCTTTTGTAAATTTGTGACTTACCCCCATGGTAATATCTGTGACAACTTCGGAAGACCAGTAAAATCGAAAATTGTACAAAGCAATGTATTTAGCTAGTATTTGATCAATGTATAAGAGATTTAGGGGCTGTTTGTTTCACCAATTTTACAGAAAAGGATTGGTATTTGGACCTGACAGTGGTAATTTCGTAATAAACAGATTCCAAATGAATCCTAATCCGGAGTTTGTTTCAGATTTTTTTTACAGATTTCGAAATCTGTTAAGTACCCTAAATAGGGTTTTTTCTGAGATTCCCACAACCTCTTCTCCCGATCGGATTTGGGTGAGATTTCTGACATCCCTATCGCCTTCACCTCTTTGGGGTTTTCCGATTCTTTCGTCTTCGAAAACCCTCTGGCCGTGTGTGGAATTGGTGTTCTTCTCCCGCCTCATCTCACTCCTCTTTGCGCCTCTTCTCCTACGTGCCTTCGATTTTGTCGAACTCGTGGCTGGTGGACTCCCTTCTCGAACTAGCCGTCGTCGATGTAGTTCGTGATTGGTGGGATTCTGGCGGTTTGTTTGTGATTCCTTCCTGAATTTCTGGTTTTCGATCGGTTTTTGTTGATCCTTTCTCGAATTAGCCATCGTCGACACTCCTTAGCTTTGTGGGTTTCAGTCGATTTGTTGGTGATCCCTTCTCGATCACCTAGTTTTAGGTCCTATTTCTTGCCCTCGTGGTGTCCGTCGGTGGGTTTGTTGCTTGGATTTCATTGGGCTTGTTTCTTGGATCTCATTAATTTCCCCCACTAAGTCTGAAGGTATAAATCCCCCTCCCCCCCTAAATTTAAAGATTCATTTCTTTGTGCTTGTTGTTAATCGTTAAAAACAGGGTTACATGATAATATATTTTCTCCCGACTGGTTAATTAAATGTGTTGTTTTTGAAAAATCATTAAGGTGGATAATTTTTTTCACCCTTCTCTGTTGAGCACTTAAGAACGTGGATTATCTTTTAATTCCCTGTATTAATTAGTATTTGTATTACATATTTGATTATTTTTTAATTCCCTGTTGTAATCTCTTAAGAACATGGTTGATCGTTTAAATATTTAATTATTTTAAACTTCAATAAGTGGACATATTAAGTTGTAAATGTATGCTAATTTTGCAACGGATGTAGATGGATATGGTAGATGAAAGAGTTGAAGAGGATGTGTGCTAATACAGGTGTTTCCGCTGTGGTCACCTTAGTAACTTGTATTTTGAGAATGCGTGCTAAGCGCAAGACAATTTCAACTTGTACGCATGAAGAACAAATTAAGAAAATATATTACAGAGAAACTCACTTCAGACGTGTATTGGAAGGCTATAGTGATAGCTGTCGTTCTTATATTAGAATGAGACCGACGGCCTTTTTTAAACTTACTGAAGTAATGAAAGCAAACGGTTTACTGAAGGATACAAGACATGTTCAAGTTGAAGAACTGGCTATGTTTCTAAGTATTGTGGGTCATAAAACTAAAAATATAATAATAAGGACTTAGTTCATAAGATTAGGAGAAACAGTTAGCATGTATTTCATTAAAGTCCTACAAGTAATGAATGGGTTACGTGATCGCTACATGAAGCAAGCTCCAAATAAAGTTCCCATGGAGATTGCAAACAACTCAAATTATTTTTCTTACTTTAAGGTAAATTAAATACATACATCTTAACTTCTCTTATAAAACAAAAATATTTTTTATTGAACTTTTTATAATCTATAATTTTTTATAGGATTGCATTGGTTTGATTGATGGCACACACGTCGACGCAGTGTTACCTAGTGATCTAGTTGCACAGTTTAGAGGGCAAAAAGGGGTAACACAAAACATCTTAGCAGCCTGCATCCCTAATAAACTTTTTACCTATGTCTTACTAGGTAGGAGGAAGCAGCAAATGACTATAGGATATTATAAGATGCTCTGTCGAGACCACAGCCTTATGGGCTCCGAGTTTATGATGGTATTCATTCTCACTTCTGTACATTTTTGAATACTAAATTAAGTACTTGTCAGTAATTGAGATTTTAAGATACTGTCTAATTAATATAAGTAAATATTACCTATGTGACGCTGGATACACCACAATGTCAGGCTTCATATCCTCATATCGCGGTGTACAGTATCATTTAAAAGAGCACACTGGTAGAACACCAAAGAATAGAAAAGAGTTGTTCAATTTAAGGCATTCTTCTTTAAGATCAAAAATTGAATGCATATTTGGTATATTGAAGAGCCGGTTTAAAATACTATCTGTGAAGCCGAATTACCCATTTCCTACTCAAGTGGACATTGTACTAGCGTGTACCGTGTTACACAATTTTATTGCTATAGAAGATCCGGATGATGAGATCTTAAATGAAAATGTAGAAATTGATGAAGATAACAGGGAAGTGTCAAATGAAGACGACTCAAGTGTCGTGGATTATACTCAAACTAGGACACAGAGAGAGGATCGAGTTGAAAGAAATGAATGGAAGGATCTACGAGATCAAATTGCTTGGGCGATATGGGTGGATTATTATGCAAAGTATAATGGTGGTAATACAGTGGAGAGTGGATTAAATTAATGTGTTGTTTGTTCTATCTCGTTGTAATAACTTGTCTTATTTTCTTACTGTTTGCAATTATCCATTTTGATGTTTCTTAGCATGTTCTAAACATTACTACGAGTATCATCTCCTCACTATTCATGTTTTTGCGGTATGTACATGTTTCATATATTCCTTTTCTAGTGCAAATTTGTCAAATGCATGCATATTATATATTGATTTAGATTTATTTAATAAGAATGTTATCTTGTGCATTATATATTAGGTATGGCTAACAATCAGGCGGATAAGCAGACCGTGCCCTCTCAATCTAATGCTCCGCCAAATCCAACTGCTAACATTAACATGAACTTCACGCCTGTTCCACCATAACCTTTATCTTCACCCTGTCATACATTCTCATCATTCTCGCTATATGACGTCAATTATGGTGGAATGACACAACAACCAATGTCATACTTAAGCATGTTAAGCAGTCCACAAGGTTTGCTATTTCCCACAGCCAGTTCTCAAAGTAGTGGGCCTAATCAATTAT